AACTTAATAGCATATCCTATTTTTAAACGTCAATTACGAAGCAATCTTCTTACTTTATAAATCTTAGTTTTTTAATGCGTTAAAAGCATTTTTAATTTAAATAAAGGACACAGACATTGAAACAAACTACTACATTAGGAGAACTACTAATACAATAACTGTTTTTAACTTTAGTTTGTCTGATATCGACCACCTGGACCACAATTGGCTTACCAAACTGATTTAGAAATTAATCGATTCTAAATATTTCTCTCGATGCAACTACATTGTATACAATTAGTTTCTCGGTTGTTGTTTTTTTATTTGTCCTAATTTTCTTTAACATTATTTTGCAGTAATTTTTATCCTATTCATTTATATTAAATAAAACTTTGAATTCTAAGCACGTTACAGTCTTGTTCCAAAATCCTACTCTATTCTGACTTCTGGTGTAGCATCGAGATTAGGAAATTTCACAGACCAATGGATTCCCTTATCTACGAACCCTGATGATTACACTCGTGGTTGAAATATCTATTCCCCATGAAAAATGCCAGATAAGCAAAACTATTGAAAGAATGAATTGATTCTAATAAAGGGTCATCTTTGTTTGTAATAATAATTATTACAGCTTAAAAGAATACAATTATTTTTACTTTATTAATCTTGACGTACATTTTTACTTAAAATACATATAAGAATGCAATGTTTTGGTTCAACACTTCTTTTAAGTTTTAAGGTTTTCGTTCCTTATTTTAAAATATGTTGTTATCTTCTTCGTGCGAGGTTGTGGATTTCTGCTGGTTAACTTTTTTCAGTCTGGATATCATAATTCCAATAGATGACGCTGCACAGATGAATAACACGACAATTACTAAAGGAAGCACTACATTCAAGAGGTATTTCTTCGTTTTGCTAAGTTTAGTTCCTTCTTCTTTCGTCATTTTTAAAAGTGACACTTTGTTCCGTCACTATGAAAGGGAATTTTTTTTTTTTTTGACTGAAAACTGAAATATTTTAAATACAATTTTGAAGAACTTCTTTATCTAAGAATTTTTATTTGAATCATACTAACTACGGCTAGAAACGTTGTTTCCTTAATTGAACAGTTTGCAAGTAATTCAAACACGTTTGTCATGAAAAACATGCATGAAATATTTTTGCTCTTTTCGGTAATAATTTATTTAGCATAAGTTTGTATTGATTTATTAAATCAAATACTCAAACTCAAGGATCAGTTTTGAGAATTCGATTTCTATAGAGTATCAAACCACCTAAAAAGATGAAGATGGGGAAGAAAACAAGAAGAAAAAATAACCAATTAAAAAGGTTACTCTAGTTAGGTATTTCTAATTTACTAACGGGTTCTAAGCAAACAGATTAGAACAGACGTAATTTTCATTCGTTTTTATTAACTTTTTTCGAAAATATATTTGTTTGTTCGACTGTGGCAAAAACTTGAAATTTAATTTGACTCTTTCGTGTCGTTTCTCAAAAAATAAGTCGTTTATGAAATTATTATTTAAACCAAAAATTAATATTTTTTTGCTTTATTACTTTTTCCTCTGCATTTTTAAAGTTTACTGTGTTTATTTGCAAATATTGTGATTACAATCACTACCAATACAGAATATGAAAATGCTGATAAAAATATTTCTGAATATGTCGACATAAGGAAAAACCTAGTAAGTTTTATTAAACAAAGTCAGGTTTAAATCATCGGTTCTAATGTGTTTTTATCAACTTTATTAGCGTTTAAGTACAAGGTTTTTTGTCATCTTTGTTGCTTATATTTACTAAATAACATTATTACATCTTTTTTATTTACATCTATTACTTTGGAAAAATTGATAAAGAAGCTCTAGAAATCTTGTTTGCTACCGGTTTTGTGATTGTTATAAAATATTTTTAGCAGATTTCTAGAGTAGAATAATTGTATGTAATTTTATTAGATCAACAAATGTAAAGCATTTACATGTAAAAGTTTGTATTTGAACTTACAACGTATTTGATAAAATAAATAATAATAATAAGTTAATTGAGCATTCATTTTAAATGAATTATGAAACTGTAGCTAATCCATTTAAATTTTGCAAATCCATCATTTTAGTTTTAAAATAATTACAATTTAACAGAGAATATTCCTTTGAGTGTGATAAATTAAAACGTGTAATAATTTTCTTGCAACAAATTTACTGTATTTACTGCTAATTGCATTGACTTTAATCGTCTTAATAAGGCAAATCTTCTCAAAGCCAGCACCGTTTTTAAATTCGTATTAGATTTGACAAATCTTGTAATGAAAAGACCGAGAAGATTTTTAAAATTGATGTCTTTTATGCGAGACATGAAAGGATGTAATTGAATTTAAAAACTTTCTCAAAGTAACGACAAGAATACGTCGACTATAATTTTTTTCTCTATTCACTCTGCTTGGATCACGCAGCGATACTTACTTTCTTTTTATGAAGGTCTTATTATGAAATTAATTCTTTAGACGAGCAAAATAAAAATTTCAAGATATTTATTGACTCGGTTTTGATGCTAATAGATAATTAATTTTTTATTAGAGTTTTTGTACTTGTACTTGTTTTTTTATTTTTGCAATAGTAGGATTTTGTGGGACGATAAAATGGAAAATGGTGACGTATTGCAAACTGCATTGCGGTGGTTTGAACTTGACTCCAACTTTACAATTCAAATTCAGACAACGTCCTGAATTGTAAAGCACCTTGCAGCTAAATTTATGGTCAACTGTAAACACTCATTTCTCAATTTTTTTGTCAAGTTTTGCGAGCTGATTCGTTCCGAATCGGTGACGCACTTTGAATTATTTAGAAGCATTGCAGGCGTTTCCTGCAACAAATTGATTACACTTTTTCGGCTTCTCAACACATTTTTACGCCTTTAATAACATTTACAACCCGCTGGCAGAAAAACAGGGATCAAAATAAACACTCACATCTAATTTACATCTTGCGATTAAAAATCGTTTTGAAAATTACTGTGCTCAATTTTTTTGTCTAAATGACACAAATAAAAGTTTTATCATTCCGACATGGAGTAAAAACTCTTTTTTTTGCTTCATCGTTTTTTCTTTTAACATTACGTTTATTTCTTTCGCTGTTTCAGCAATTTCTGTAGAGGTACATTATAGATCATCAGCATTTGATATTTTGCACTAGTCATTCACGAGATGTGTTCCATTTTATAAAAAAAATATGATTTAAGTGTAAGTAATAACAAACAATTATATTTCTAAAAAAATTCTACTTTATTTATAAACTTATAAGACACATCAACAACTACAAAAAAAATTTTAGCTTTCAAAGAAGAGTACATCAATATCTTTGAAGAGATATAAGTTTTTTCTATTATTATGTGTTATACTAATAACTATTAAAAAAAATAAAAATTAATAAAAACTCAAATTACAAAAAAGAGCAATAACAGTTCAAGGATTTCGAAAAAAAAAATAGAATAATGAAAAAAAAAGACATTACCATAATTAAATGTACTCATTACTTAAACAAAAATAAAAAAAAAATTACATTGTTTTTTTTGTTTTATTGCTTTTTTACTTAGTTTTTTTTAACTGAGCGGGTGTTACAGTTTTCAGTGGAGGTGTTGATCACAAATCTGAGGACAAAAATGATAAAAAAACAGTATTGAAACGAGTGAATCCAAATGTTTTTAAAGTGACAAATAGACACAAAAACGATAATTGTCGTTTTTCTAAATTTTAGCATTTCTATTTAAACGTTTTTTTTGCAAATCTAAGTATTGTGTAAATCGCTATTTCTAGACTCTTCCTTAGTTTCC